AGCCCCAGGGCAGCTGTGGCTACAATGTAGCTTGCCACCAACCGTGTATAAGTGTGTGCGTGAATGCTTCAATGACTGATTTAGTGTGAAGGATTTTGTTCAAGTCCTTTGACTTGAAAACGTGCTATATAAGTACAGGCATTTTACTATTTAATTTCACATTCCTAGAGATCAAGACCCTTGCTTGGCCAAAAAAACAAACACATTTAACAGCTATAACAGAAACAGACTCCTTTGCTTAAATGAACTAATGCAGTATTAAAATAATGTATACTTTCCCGTAAATTGAGGCCCCACTATTTTAAAGTTTTTTTTGTTTGTTTGTTTGTTTTTTTATATACAAACATTATAGTATAGTATAGTATAGTATAGTATAGTACTGCAGTATATTTGTGAACTTCTTATAAATAGACAGGATTTATTTTCAGCAGTTAAGCATGCCACAGAACAGCACGTCCCAATAATTTAACCTTATAGACATACTGTTTTGGTCTATCAATTTCTGTAGCACGGGGTTTTAGCACCATCATGTGCCGCTCAATGGTACTGCATTATAGAATGCTGGAGAAATGTTGCTTTTTTCAATAAATGGGTTAGATTAAAATTGCGTTTTTTTTCTTTTTTAATTCAATAAAAGCAGCATAAATATATATTTTTTTGTTTTTATATGTTTATAGGTATTAATTTATCAGAGCTTTGCTGCGCTTACGTCACACGTCACATGTGTTTTGGTCTGCCTTTACCCATAACTCCTTGCGCGATAAAAATGAGAATACAGACCATTAATCACAATTATGTGCAGATGTGTTTATAGTAATGTCTATGAGAATTAAATATTTCAATGTAGATGGTTCCAAAGAAAATTATTCAAAAAGAAAAAAGAAAACAAAAATAAAACCACCGCTTATACATAGCTGTAACAGAGGGGTTTAAATACGGTATGTAGCCACTGTTTGCGTCGGTTGGTCCGATGGCAGTGGAGTTTCAAACGATTGTTTCAGTCAGTAACAGTTTCTCCTCTCCCTCTCACTGCCGGTCTTGACTAGCCTTTTGTTTCTTTTCATGCTTAAAATCTAGCATTATTTATATATATATATATATACACACACACTATTAAATTTTAAAAGAAACAATAGGCTAGTCAAGTTAATATATATAATTAACTATACTGGCACGGTAATGTCCCAAGTAATCCCCTTACAATTAGATTTAATCTGTAATGTTACCAGCATTATCAATACCTACGCAAAATAATTAAAATAGATTTTGATTATGCATTAGCTCCTAGCTGCTTCAGTGTTTTCAGTTTGGAACTGAAATATATTTTTATTTTAGGATGAAGATCTGTTGTTCTGACAGTTTCTTTAGCTGTGTATGGTATCACAGCTGAAATACCTGACAAACCTGCTTGTTTCCGACATAACTAATAAGATGAGCATACTGTTTATTATTAGAGACAGACTAAATGTTTCCTTCAAATGCAAAAAGAGTAGGCCAACATGTCTAACATTTGACATGGTGTTAATTTAAGCTGGGTTAAATTTATTTGGTGGCTAAAGCTTAAACTTATGACATATTTGTTATTTATCAGGTCTTAGCTTTTCTACAACTCTTTTTATTTTTGTTTGATTTATATTTAGTAAATCACATTTTTACATAAACGTTTTTTTTTTTACATTAAATGTAAAGGATATATGTGTTTTGTTTTTGGTTGCTTTCATGCAGTATGGTGTGCAAATCCCCATAACATTAAATATATTTGACAAACATGCAAACCTCAAACAATAAAGGAAAAGAGAAAATATTTAAGGAGAAATAAAACATAAAATACATGCATGATTGTATTTTGTACTTATTTCAATCAGATGTTTTGGATACTGATCAAAGCATGCTCTTTTCCTATATATCTATGTTAATAGTCTAAATATGTCATATTACTCACATGACAAGACAAGAATTAAGCTTTAAGGAAATGAGGACAGACAGTTAATCAGTTTTCTGTGGTACATGGCAGGAGCAATTGGCTTTGCAAGGTCAGAACATGTTTTCGTAGTCTATAAAATGTATCTGTGGAATCACACAGAATAAATTTCCAATTAGTTGAAGTGAAAGAAGACTTTAATAAATTCATAGACCTAAATGTTTTGACTTCTTTTCTCACTGCAGACGCTAATTCAGGCAAAATAAATTCATAAAAATATATAAAAATTTGCCAATTGTCTGAAATATTCCAGGGATTTTCTATAAATTTGTATAATTTTTCAAGAAATGTAGAAACTATGCAAAGTTAACCTCCTCTGTATCTGGTCGAAATTCCTAAACCTTTATGACCATTGAGTCAAATGTTTTGGGGGGATCAGGAAATATTCCTCCTGGCAGGAGAAATGGTTCATCAGAGTCATGTTTCCATTCCGTCTTGCTTGGCTTGCTCTGTTTCAGCTTTTTCCCTTATTTGGAAATACCATTGCAATCAGGTCTCTCTGATGTTTGCTCCAAAACGTTGACCATCTTATCTTTAAGACACTTTGTTGAAAATCTGATGATGCTTAGGATCGCTGACCATTTAAAAAAAAAAACTTTGCACCTTCTTCATATCTCCACATGATGATCTTATCCTAATACATCCATCTATTTGGTGGCACCCACCTCACTGAGAATTAAACACCAATAACCTGGTATTGCCATTCCAAAATAGCTTTTTCTTTTCATTTTAAAGATCTGTACACTTCTTCTTTCTTCTCCAAATGGAATGATTGTGATCATAATAGTTCAATTTCAGTTACATCAGATGAAATAATTTCCAGAGAAATGTTCAGCTTTTAATAGTTTTTAAATATTTAACTTTTAATATCAAAGTTATTATTTTTCTATTTTATTTTAATACAGTAAGGAATCTCATATATGCCTCTGTTAATGTGCTTCTTCTCTTTTCATGCTATAGTATTCATGTTGTTTTAATTATTTATACTATGAAATAAGGCCAAGGGCTGCATGGCTCTCTTGGTCACAGGGGGGTAGACACCTGATGCATTACATCTGTTTTTAATCATAAGCACGGCCAGTTCAAGACCGGGGCCAACGGTGGACAGGGCCCCTGTAGAATTGGTCCTGGCAACTGTTATGGCGGCTGTGCTGAAAGCATCCACTACAAAATCAAAGCATAAGTCAGTTTTTCTTGAAGAAATTGCATTACCCTTAAATTTTAGAATGGAATAATATAATTTACATTTATCATGTAGGGGAGCCACACAATTAATTTTTATGATGAAATGTACTGATAGAAAGGAATGCACTTCCATAAAGTGTCCTTGTAACCAAGTCCCACAATCTTAGATCTAATCAAAAAGTCTTTCTGATCTGTTTTTTTTTAGAATCTACCGTATATAATAAATTCAAGAAATCCTTCTAAGTACAATTGTCTCACTGCATTGGCAGAGTTTTGCAAATATTTTGAGTTGAATGTACTCAAAAGAAGACTAGTAATCTAACAGAATCTGGAGTAAATATATCTTAAAAAAAAAAGGTCAAAATGATTATTTTGGCTAAAGCATGGTTAGATGGACAATTTTTGTATTATATAACGGATTCAACCCTTGGAGCAATTTAAGCATTCACCTTTAAAATGGACTTTAACAATTATTTAAGAATTTTAGTCACCTTTAAGCTCCTGCCATTTTAACATGAGAACAGTTTTATCTAATAGATCAGGATAATAAAACTATGGCTTTGCACTGCAAAAACGATCAATAAATTAGTAAAAATTTCTTAAATTAATTATGTTTACCCTTAATTTGAGCAGGTGTATAAGATTATCTGGCTATGGAATTAGTATTACTCTTAAAATAAGATAATTAGATAATATTCACTTGAAATAAGACAATGCAATTGTTTTTTTCTTATTTTGAATGTAAATTGTCTTGTTCTGTTGGCAACGTCTCCCTTACCTCCTCAATTCAAAACAAAATGCACTTATTTTAAGAAAAACATTACTTATTTAGATTTACTTCTATACTTTTTTTTCATTGTGCTTGTTATTATTTTTGTTCTGTACACCCATAAAAAAAACTGGCCCCCTCTAGGCCCCCCACAGGCATGTTTTGTCCATAACCACCTCTTATCATAGGGAGTGGTAACCTACCATAAACCAGGTTGATGCATGCAGTTCAATTCATTCCCACATGCATCAGGCTGGGAAGCCGCCTGTAGAACATCTTCACAAAAGGGGAGGGACATTCAGTACCATTACCAGTACCAAAACCTTCTTGCCTTGCAGCAAGAAGGTTCTGGGTTCGATTCCGATTCATGTGTGGGTTCTCTCCGGGTACTCCGGCTTCCTCCCACAGGAGGTTAGGTTCATTGGCTTCTCTAGACTCTCCTTATGTGTGAATAGTTGCATGTCCTGTTTGTCTCTGTGTTGTCCTGCGATTGCCTGGCGACCTGTCCAGGGTGTACCCTGCATCTCGCCCGTAGACAGCTGCAGATGGGCACCCGCACCCCTCGCAACCCCAATTGGGACAATTGGGAGCCCCAGTCGGTTTCGGCAGATGGCTGCTCATACCGAGCCTGGTTCTGCTGGAGGTTTCTTCCTGTTACAACAGAGCTTTTCCTCTCCACTGTCGCTACAAGCATGCTTAGTATGAGGGATTGCTTCCCAGTCAATGCAATCAACTGGTTCTCCTTAGATAGAAAACTTTGAATCAATCTGACTGGATGATCTGGTGAACTGTAAAGTGCCTTGAGATGAGGTGTTGTGAATTGGCGCTCTATAAAAAAACTGAATTGAATATATATAGATAAATATCTATGAATCTAGATAGATAGATAGATAGATAGATAGATAGATAGATGTATAGTGTATGTAGCTTTAAGAAGTGAAATCAAATGTGAGCCCATAGAGCAGAAGGAAGAGTCACCTCACACTCGCCTACGACTGAAAACACACACATAACTCCACCCCCACCCCC